TCCACATAATATCCACATTATATATCCACACTTTGTATCCACACTATATATCCACACTGCATACTCATACTGCATATCCACACTATATATCCACCTTGTATATCTACATTATATACCCAAACTTTGTATCCACACTATATATCCACACTACATATCCACACTATATATCTACACTACATATCCACACTATATATCTACACTACATATCCACACTTTGTATCCACACTGCATATCCACACTACATATCCACACTACATATCGACACTATAATATCCACATTATATATCCACACTATATATCCACTCTGTATATCCACATTTCATACCAATGCTATAACCATACATAAGAAGAATATAAAGAGAAGGAGGAGAAGGAAGAGATAAAGAAGAGGTGGAGGAGGTGGAGGAAATAAACAGAAAGTGGAAGAGGAGAAAGAAAAAGAAGAAAATAAAATTGAGAAAGAGGAGGAGAAGGAGGAAGTGGGAGAAGGGGAAGAAGAGAGAGAATTAGAAGATGAAGAAAAAAATATGGAAGTGGAGAAAGAGAAAGAAAAAATAGGAGGAATAAACAATATAAAGAAAAGCAAATAGTAATAATTATAATGATAATAATGATGATAATAAATAAAAATAATAATAATGATAATAATAATAATAATAAATAAAAAGATAGAGAAAGAAAGAAAACTAGGAGATAACAAGGTCAAAAGGAATAACAGAAGAAGAAGAAGAAGAAGAGTAGGGGGAAGAAGAAAGAAGAGAAGAAGTAGAAGAAAATAAAAACCGGAAGGGAGAGAGAAGTAGAAAAAGAAGTAGTACAAGAAGAAGAAGAGAAGAAAAAAAGAAGAGAATTAGAAAAGGAGGAAAGAAGCCGAAGAAGCAGAGAAGGAGGATGAAAGAGAAGAAGGAGACTAAGAAGAGGAAAAAAAAAAAAAAAGAAAAGGAAGAAGAAGGAGAAGAAGAATTCTTATTATCCTCCTCTTGTTTTTCTTTCACCTATTGGATGCGTTCTATTCTTTATTAATATGTGGACAAGAAGAAGGTCTTTCTTGGTCTTGATATTACCTTCTTTCTCTTTATCTCTCTATCTATCTATCTATCTATCTCCCTGTCTATCTATCTATCTCTTTTCTCGATTTCTCCTCTCTCTCTATCTATCTTTCTCTTTCTCTCTCTTCATCTCTCTTCATCTCTCTCTCTGTCTCTGCCTCTGTCTTGTCTCTGTCTGTCTCTGTCTCTCTCTCTCTCTCTCTCGTTCTCTCTCTCTCTCTCTCTCTCTCTCTCTCTCTCTCTCTCTCTCTCTCTCTCTCTCTCTCTCCTCTCTCTTCTCTCTCTCTCTCTCTCTCTCTTCCTCTCCTATCTATTTACCTGTTCATCTCTCCTCTCTCATACTTTATCGTCATATAAGTCAGGCTTCTTTAGTAACTCACTTATAAGTATCCCCCTATCCCCTTATAAGTATCCCCCTATCCACTTATAAGTATCCCCCTATCCACACATCTATCCCTTCAACCTCTACTTAAATGCTAGTAGCCAAGCATCTTCCGCAGTAATACTTACATTGTTTTTTTTTCCTTCTCGCTCCGAGGAACAGAATAAGCTGTTTTCCTTCCCCAGAGCGAGAGATTTTGGTCACGCCATAAGCAACATATTTCGGAAAATGTATATGTGGCAACTGCTATTCCCGGGCGAGGCGGGAGGCAGGACAATCGGTGCACAACAATTATGTTTAGGGACAGCAGCGTCTCTCTCTCTCTCTCTCTCTCTCTCTTTCTCTTTCTTTCTCTCTCTCTCTCTCTCTTTTCTTTCTCTCTCCTTTCTTCTTTCTTTCTTTCTCTCTCTTTCTTTTTCTTTCTTCTCTCTCTCTCTCTTCTCTTCTCTCTTCTCTCTCTCTTCTCTTCTCTCTCTCTCTCTCTCTCTCTCTCTCTCTCTCTCTCTCTCTCTCTCTCTCTCTTCTCTCTCTGTCTCTCTTCTCTCTTCTCTCTCTCTCTCTCTTTCTCTTTCTCTTTCCTCTCTCTTTCTCTCTCTCTCTCTCTCTCTCTCTCTCTCTCTATCTCTCTCTCTCTTTCTCTCTCTCTCTCTCTCTCTCTCTCTCTCTCTCT